ACCATCTGCAAGAAAGAGCTGTACAATAAACTTGCCGCTGAAGAAATCCTCAGTTGTTGCGTCGTCCTTATCGGCAAAGGCCAGTCGCGACAGGTGGCCTTACTAGGCCACAGAGAAAGAGAATCTATACAGTGTTGATGAGACATGATAGGCTAGAGTCAGATGGTAAAGGAGGAGGATCTCCCATATCAGTGGACTAGGGAAGGAACATGGGTGGGAAGAAGGATGGAGGGTGGATTGGGAAGAGATGAGGAAGGGGACTACAGTAGAGATACAAAATGAATAAATTGCAATAAGTAATAACAATAAAAGAAAAAAGAAAAATATCCATTGTGATTAAGGATCTTAGTTTTATTAGTTCTGTGACATGATTATGGCTATCACACCCAGACATTCCTGTGCTAGGAAGTCTATCTTCCATTTGGAGTTGTAGAAATGTATAGATGTTTTAGAGGTGAAACCTTATGGGAGGTTGCTAGTACAATTGAGAACTGATGGGCGTGGAAGGCCTTGGAAGGAGAAGAGGGAAGAAGGTAACGGTATAATTAAATTTTAATTAAGTACAAAGGCCATTTTCTTTTGTGATGATTCTTCTTGATTACCAACCAGAGATACCAAGTACACATCTTAATATGTGGGTAAGTGTGTTCTCAGAAATGATGAGGGCTAAAACTGTGTAGCAGTTTCTTCCACATTGAAACATCACTTCTGGAAGAGAGGAAGACAGCTCATCAGCCTCAGGCAATAAATGAAATCCGCAAGCCTCTGCAAAGTTGAAGCTTGGAAGATTCACAGTCTGTAAACAGTTGTGGAGTAGAGAAGAATCTTCCCCCAGTCAGCCTCAGGTGAGTCCTGCAGGGAGCGCTAAAGTGATCACCCAGGCAGAGCTGGGCTTTTTAGCCTTGCAACCCTTTGCATCTCTCACTATCTTGTAAGTGACGCTCAGTCACATTAGTGTAAGTAGCCCTAGGAGACCCAGTGTTTCTTCAGATTGCAGTGTGGTAGAATCATTCCTTTGGTCTGTCACTGGGAGCCTGTCTGGATGGAGTGGACATTTGTTCACATCTACCCAGGAAAAGTCCCTTAAGAGTAACCACACTAAATGTGGATGGTGTCATCGCAAATAATAGAAAATGGAAAAAAAGGACATCAACTAGCATGGGCATTCTCTCCCCCCTGCTTCCTGGCCTTAGGAACTGACAGGCTCTGCTTTTCACTTCTCCGCCATGATGGACTGAAACCCCTGAGACCGTAAACTAAAGTAAATCTTTCTCTCTTCCAGGTTCTTCTGCCGGGTACTTTCTATGAGAATAAGTCTGACTAATACATCTTTAGCTTAAAAAAAAAAAAAACAACTGGGCATTGATTAAAGATGAATTCTCAAATTCATAATTATATCCTCACAGTGAGGGTGTATCTCTATCAATATGGAACATCTCTTTATTTCTAATATTTCATACAGATAAAGTACTATCTAATATTAACACAGAAACAACATGGTAGATGTTTTACCTTAAAGATTTGTGTCCTTACATTTAAAGTCTCGTCTTAGCGACAGATACTTGAGCTTTGCTTTGTTTCTCAGTGCAGCCACATTTTGTTTTCAATTGCATTTTTTATATTTATATTCAATGCAAGAATTGACATATTTGGGGTAAGTTGCCACCTTGTTAAACTTTATAGTTCTTCCACTTAGTCTATTCTATGCTATTTGGATTTGTGCATTGTAATTTTGATTTGCCAAGAAGAACCAAAAAGTGCAAACAGCATGTTTTTTGTAGAACTTTGTGATATATAGTCACTATAATTCTAAATTTAAAACATAAGACTATTGAAAAATCACCTTTCATAGTTAAGATCAATGGATTAAAAATGAGTGAAGACCTCTGATTTGGAGTGCTTTAATATTCATGACATGAGACATATTTCTGGGTCCCTAAAAGAGTTCTATCTTTTTTATTTTGTATGGACACTTTAACACATTTTCAATATTTACTGTGATTTTTGTGGGGTTATTCAGTCTAGCAGAATTAAATGGCAATATAATATGTCAAATGCCTTCTCTAAGAGCCAGAACAACAGCCCTATGAACCTCTGTAGAACAGTCTCAACTAAAAATCAAAATCTATGGTTATAATTTGATAAGCCAAAGAAAGAAAAGGGAAAATATTCTCCATTGTAATTGTCTTGTAAACAATCCAAATTAAGGTATGACAGTTTTCAAAAGATGTTGGAACAAGTTGATAAATGGCATCTCATTTCACCAATCTATGTAAAACCAGATGTTATTACTTCCTGGGTTAATTTGAAAACGTATGATAACAATCTAAATCGGAAATGTGCAGGTTTCAAGCACATTATTTTAAAGAAAAGATTAAGTGAAAGTACTGAAAAAGTACTTCGTAAGTAAAACAAAGAAAGTGAAAGTACTGAAAATTGGTTGTCAACAAAACAGAATAGACAGGAATTAAAATTAAACGAGGACATGATTAGACTTTATAACTTGTAGCTCAGCTACTTTAAGATTAGGTTAGAGATCTTATTTAGCCATATAATATAGGACAAACATATTAAAATCTATAGTCCTAAAGAAGCTAAACACCAAGCAGGACCCAAGGGGAAAGGCTTAATCCTCATTCAGAAGGGCAAACAGGAAAGACATAAGAAAAAGAAGATAGGGAACAGAATAGGATCCTTCCACAGAGGGCCTCTGAAAGACTCTACCCAGCAGGTTATGGAAGCAGATGTTGAGACTCATAGCCAAACTTTGGGCAGAGTTCAGGGAATCTTATGGAAGAAAGGGGAGATAGAAAGATCTGGAAGGGACAGAGCTCCACAAGGAGAGCAACAGAGCTATTTGGGCCCAGGGGTCCCTGCAGAGGCTCATGAATCAGTCAAGAACCATGCATGGGAGAGGACCTAGACCGCTTGCTCAGATGTAGCCCCATTGGCAGCTCAGTGTCCATGCAAGTTCCCTAGTAAAGGGAGCAGGGGCAGTCACTGAGGTGAACTCGGTTGCCTGCTCTTTGATCACCTCCCCCTGGTGAGGTGGTCTTAACTAGGCCACAGAGAAAGAGATGCCAGATAGTAGTGGTGAGACCTGATAGGCTAGGTTCAGATAGTAGGGGAGGTTCTCCTCCTCTATCAGTGGACTAGGGAAGGAACACAGGGGGGAAGAAGGAGGGCAGGTGGAACCAGGAGGAGATGAGGGCAGGGGCTACAGCATGGATACAAAGTAAATAAATTTACCTGCAAATTTCATGATTTCCTTATTTTTCATTGCTGAGTAATATTCCATTTTATAGATGTACCACAATTTCTGTATCCAGTTGATACAGAAATTTTTCAGTTGAGGGGCATCTGGGTTGTTTCCAGCTTCTGGCTATTACAAATAAAGCTGCTACAAACATGGTTGAGCAAATGTCCTTATTGTGTACTTGAGCCTCTTTCATGAAATTTTGCAGGCAAATGGTGGGAACTGGAAAGGATCATCCTGAGTGAGCTGTCCCAGAAGCAGAAAGACACACACACTATATACTCACTCACATAGACATATAATATAGGATAAACCTACTAAAATCTGTACATCTAAAGAAACTAATCAAGAGGGAGGGCCCTAACTAAAATGTTCAATCCCCATCCTGAAAAGAAAAGAGGATGGACATCAGAAGAAGACGAAAACAGGAAACAAGTTAGGAACCTGCCACAGTGGGCCTCTGAAAGGCTCTGCCCTGCAGATTATCAAAGCAGATGCTGAGACTTATGGCCAACTGCTTGACAGAGTGCATGAAATATGAAAGAAGAGGGAAATAGTATGATCTGGAGAGGACAGAAACTCCACAAGGAGAGCAACAGAACAAGAAAATTTGAACACAGGGGTCTTTCCAGAGACTCATACTCCAACCATGCATGGAGATAACCTAGAACCCCTGCACAGATGTAGCCCATGGCAGTTCAGTGTTCAAGTGAGTTCCATAGTAATGGGAAGAGGGACTGCCTCTGACATAATCTGATTGGCCTGCTCTTTGATCACCTTCCCCTGAGGGGGGAGCAGCCTTACCAGGTCACAGAAAATGACAATGCAGCCACTCCTAATGAGATCTGATAGACTAAGATCAGAAGGAAGGAGAGGGGGATCTCCCCTATAAATGGACTTGGGGAGGGGCATGTGTAAAGAAGGGGGAGGGAGGGTGGGATTAGGAGGGGAGGAGGGGGGTTTATGGAGGGATACAAAGTGAATAAAGTGTAATTAATAAAAAAATAAAAATTAAAAAAAATAGAAGGGAGGACCTTCTATCAGGGAACTAAGGAAAAGGCACAGAGGAAGGGTTTGTGGGACTGGGAGGAGACTAGGGAGGGGGCTACAAAGTGAATAAATTGTAATAAATAAATAAATAAATAAATAAATAAATAAATTTTAAAAAGTAACAAAAAAGTAAATAAATTATAATTTTTTTAAAAAAGAATTGTTTATAGAGAGCTGGGAGTTATTTCAGAAGAAACAGTTCCTCACTGAGACTTAGCAGAGTAAAACATAACATTCCCTTTGATTAGTCAATGAGTTCCCCAGCCATAGGCCCTTTGTTCATGTGGAGGGCCACAAGTCCAAACAGAAAGCTGCTGATAACACCAAACTGCACCATATCTTCCATGGAAGATCATTACTATAGCTCAAAGGTCTTACTGGGTAAAACTTGATGACATTTTACCCCAGAAGCCAATACAGCAAATCTGCTACTATAGGTTGGCCATTACTGAGGAGACTTCCAAGTCAGGTCCTGCTTGAATATCTGTGTAGGTTTTTATTATTATTTTTTATATAATTAATTTCATTTTATTTTATGTGCATTAGGGTGAAGGTGTCAAATCCCTTGGAATTGGCATTACAGACAGTTGTAAGCTCCCATGTGGGTGCTGGGAATTGAACCCAGGTCCTTTGAAAGAGCAGACAGTGCTCTTAACCACTG